GATTGACTGGTGACCTCGAGCGGACCACCAAGATCTATGAGGCCGAGCTCGACGTTTACAGGACTTTGCCTACGACCTCACAACGACCGCCGCCTTCCGTGGACATCCTGGAGATCTTCGCCGGCGAAGCAAAACCATCGGCACGTGCATCAAGGTTTGGTCTCAACGCGTGCCAGCCCTTCGACCTAAACTTCGGTTGGGACCTTAGCCAACCAGACCAGCAGCGGATGATAATGAATTTCGTTCGCCGCCTGCGACCTTGGGCTATCATCATCGGCTACCCGGGGACCCTCTACAGCGTCTTCGGTGAGAACATCAATGACAAGTCCGATGAGTACCTCCTTCGCAGAGCCGCGGACCAACCCATGAGAAGTTTCACAGCGGCACTTTGCCGCACACAATATGATGCAGGCAGACTGTTCTTCCTCGACAATCCCAAGAACAGCCGACTTTGGAGCCAGACCGAGATGGCATCGCTCCTTGACCTGCCCGGTGTCACAACAACCGCGGCCCACTTTGGAGCCTTCGGCGCCGAGACCGCGGACGGCCAGCCCATCAAGAAAGCGATACAAATCATGTCAAATTTTCCTGGCCTCAACCGCGACTTCGGCAAACGTCTTTCGGCGACCGACCTCCTCTACTGCACCCCGGTCCAAGGCAACCTCACGCACACATACGCACACACACGCACACGCACACGCACACGCACACGCACACGCACACGCACACACACCTTCACACACACACACACACACAGACACACCTTCACACACACACACACAGAGACACACCACACACGCACACACACGCACACACAGGCACACCTTCACACACGCACACACACGCACACACACACACACACACACACGCCTTTGTGGACCAGCTCCTTACCTCTATCAAGGGTTGGATTGCACAACACGAACCACAACGTTTCGGCTACTTTACGGTGTACGCCCTCTCACGGCCTACTGTGGACGCTGCTGCCTGGGACAACGTGTTCAAGCAGGTGGAGAAAAGCTTCGTTGGCAGCAACCGGCGGCCCTACATCGTCGACCCCGACTCCACATTCGGCAAGGAAATCCAAGACCTCTTCAGGATGGATGCGGTGCGAATCCAAGTGGCGAATACTCCAACCCAACGGCACTTCCACTCCGACATACCTCACTTGGCGAGGGGAGCCGCTCTTCAGCACATCGACGGCTCCCGACTGGTGGAAGTGGAACAGTTGGATGAAGTGAGACAACCGAAAGGCCGATTCAGTAAGCCAGTGCAGTTTGCAGTTTTCATTTATGGCTCCTCGCGACAAGCAGATGAACTTCAGCATTCAACACAAGAGGACCCAGGACCTGAGGTTCCCATTGGCGGCCTCCCTACCGACGTGACCTTTCCAGGCTGCGACAAGATACCGATTTCAGTCCGGAGATCGGTGGCGCGACTTCATGTGAATTTGGGGCATCCCAGCGCCCAAGAGCTCAACCGACTGTTGTGCCACCGTGGAGTTCCGAGCGCTGGCGTCCAGGAGTGCGTGCGGAAACTCAGTTGTGCTACCTGCAAGAGACTTGCGGGTCCCCAGCAGCCGCGACCCTCTTCGACGCCGAGCCTTCAAGCTGGACAGTTTGGCGATCTTGTTCAGGGTGATTTCTTTTGGGTGAGGCTGTT